CGGGGTTCGCGCGCGCGCGCGCTGCCCGATGCCTCCCGCGGCTCGGGCCGCGTGCTGGCCACGCTGTACCAGGGGGGCAGGGCGGTGTGGACCCAGGGCGCCTCGCTAGACGTGCTGTCCGGCCAGGACGACACGCTCTCCTTCGATGTCGGCCTGGTGGTGCAGGGCGACGTGACCCTGGCCCTCTGGTTTGCCGACCACGTGGGCGAGTGGGAGCCGCCCGCAGCCGCCTACTCCTTCCACACCGCCTTTGTCGAGGCGGGGGTGGTGCGTGTTACGGGGCTCAAGCTGGACCTGCCGGGCGTGGGGCCAGGTGGGTGGGCGTGTTGGGGGTCGCGAGGGGGGGGGCTTGGGAAGGGTGAGGGAGAGGCCAGAGAGCCCGGCACAAGCCTCGACCACCCAAGTGTAGGACCCGCCACCCGGGTCTGCGCAGCTCCCAGACTATTCCCCCCTTGCTCACCACCGACGACCAGGCGCTGCGGCGCTGGCGGAGGCCGAGGGCTTCTTCATGGACATCATGCTGGACGACGACATCGTGCGCATGGCAGAGTGAGCCTCGGTGGTGGTGGGAAGGGGGAATAGATGGGGGGTATCTTGGTTGTTGGGTGAGGCAAAGGGCGGGGATCATGCGTGGAACTGTGGAGCACGCCACTTTCATCCTGGGACCCCACCACATGGCACCCCTCCCCACCCCGCCACCTCTCAGGGGGGAGGCGGGCGACCTGCACACCGACGTGGAGCGGCTGCGCGGCAGCTGGGAGGCGCTGATCGACCAGACCGACGGCTTCCTGGGCTTCCGCCCCGTGCCCGAGTCGGGCATGGACGACGTCATGTCCCAGATCCGGGCGGTGCAGTCGGCGCGCCTGCGCCCCTCCCAGATCCCACGCACTCTCTTCCGCGAGGCGGGCGCCGTGTCGGCCGCCTCCAGCGCCTCCTCCTCGCCCACCGCCGCGCGTTTGCGCCGGGTGGGCCAGTCCCTGCTGGGACCGGCGGCCTCCAGCAGCGCCGCCAGCCTGGCCGGGTCCGAGGAGGGCGGGGTTGCCGGCGGGGAGGCGCCGCCAGGCAGGGGCGCTGCGATCCAGGTTGGAGTTGGGAAAGTTGCGGCAGGGGAGGTTGACATGAGTGAGGCTGGACTTGAGGAGCCCCACGCGGTAGAGGCTGAGCTGAGCCTGGCTGAAATGGAAGCGGCACGAGAGGCTGGCGGGGCCGGCGGAGCGAGCTCGTCGTCGCCGGGGCATGACCTTCCAGACCCAAGGACTGTCCCCGGACTCTGCACGAACGGTCCGCAGGATCAGCAGAGGGCTGCGGAGGGGACGGGTGCGGCGCACGCGACCACCTCTGCTGTGCCATGCGACGCGCAGGTGACTGCTTTGGATGCGAATGTGACTGCCTCAACCATTGAGGTGCACGCAGCCACAAGCGTAACCACAACGCCGCAGAAGCCTAGCTCGGGCGCGCCGCCCCCGCCGCCGCCCCCGCCACTGCCTCCCAGGCCCGGGGGAGTCCCAAGAAGCCCGTCCTCTGGAGGCGCAGCGCAGAGCCCCGTCTCTGGAGGCGCAGCGCAGAGCCCATCCCCCAGGGACAGCACCACGCCGCCGCCACCGCCGCCGCCGCCCGCTCGCCGGAGGAGCGCAAGCTCGCCCTCCCTCACGCCTGCGGCGCCCGCGGGGCCAGCCGAGCCGGCGGGCGGGGAGGAGACCCCCACCCGCGTCCAGCGCTCGGAGTCAGCCCGGGTGGGCGGGCGGCCGCCGCCGCCCCCTCCCCCGCCGCCCGGCAAGAGCGCCAGCCCGCTCTCGCGCGGCCCGCCGGGGACGCCGCCGCCGCCGCCCCTTCCTCCCAAGAGGGGCAGCCCGGGGGGACCTGGCGCGCTGGGCACCCCCACCCCGCCGGCGCTGCCGCGGCGGAAGGGCTCCGGGGTGCCGCCCCCGCCCACGCCGCCGTCCACCCCCGCGGTGGGTGCCAAGAAGCTCCGCGCTTTCTACTGGGACACCATGCGTCGCAAGCCTGGGAGCGTGTGGGAGGAGCTGGGGGAGGCCCAGCCACTGGAGCCCGTGGCGAGGAACACCCTGGAGCAGCTGTTTGAGGTGAAGGGTGGATGGGCCCGGGGCGGTGAATGCTGTTGCGATGGCGTGGGTGCTAGCTGGTGGCTGTCTCGATATTGGAGCCATGCAAGGTGGTCGAGGCATTGAACCGACCAGTTCCCCCCCAAAACAATACAATCTCTCGCAGGTCCACCCCACCGTGCCGGCTCGGGGCAGGGCTGGAGGGGCGGGGTCAATTGGGCGTGGCCCCAAGGCCACCGGTCCCGTCGTCAAGGTGCTTCCCCTCACGCGTGCCAACAACGTCTCCATCATGCTGACCCAGGTGCCGGCTCGTGCTGCAGGGATGGGGTTACCTGCGTTGGCTTGCCGGGACTGCCTGGCTGAGGCAAACCGGCAGGGACATCTTCAGCGGCCACATTGCAGCTTAGAACGGCAGGCAATCTTGTGGGAGAGGCTCTCACTAAGCGACAGCCTTCTGATGTATGGGCACGTGACACTTTCACATCAACACCAAGCACCACCTCCACCCCCCCCTGCTCCCGCCCAGTTCTCCACCTTTCCTGGATTCGAGAGCATTCGGACCGCGCTGCTGACCGGGTCGGGTGCTCTGGGGCTGGACCACCTCAGCCTGCTCATGCAGGTGGGTGTGGGTGGGGAGTGCCGGCTGCTGTGAAGCATGCACAAGGGCAATGCTCGTCATTTGGGGGGGGTGCATTGCAGCCGTGTGGCCGCAGGCGAGGGCGCCACTGCTCTGAACTAGTTGCCCTGTCATGCCCCGTCCCACACCCACTCTGCCCCTGCCCGCCGGCCAGATCGTGCCGAGCGACGACGAGGCCAAGGCCCTTCGGGCCTACCCAGGCCCAGCAGAGGAGCTGTCGCCGCCGGAGAAGTTCATGCTGGTCATGAGCGACGTGCCGCGTGTGATTGCCAAGGCGAGGAGCGCAGGGTTTCTGATGTGCAGTGCAGTTATCGTGGGGCATGCCGGGGCTGCATGCACGGTGGGTTTGAGCGAGGGGACTTGGGGTCCTTGGGGCCCACATGAAGTCTCACCACCATGCCACGCCACGCCATGCTGCGCCTCGTCCTCTCCGCAACCCCACCAGGTCGGCGCGCTCATGTTCCGCCTCCAGTTCCGATCGCTCTGCGAGGACGCGGCGGCCGGCATGGCGGCGGTCAGGCTGGCCACAGAGCAGCTGCGTGCCAGCCGCCGCCTGCGCAAGGTGCGATGCTTGTGCAGCAGGGGCGCAGGGATTTGAGAGATTTGAGTCTGGGCCGAGGGCCGGCATGCAGCTCAGGGATCACTCTTGCCGGGTGTTCCCTGCCCTGTGGCAGGCACTGAATTCTCGCCCCCTGAGCTCGCAGCCCAACCCTCATCCCATACCGAGCCTGACACCTCGCCACGCCTCACTCCCTGTCCCCTCCAATCACCTTGCCAGGTGCTGGCGGCGGTGCTCGCCGCGGGCAACGCGCTGAACAGCGGCACGGCCCGGGGCGGGGCGGCTGCCCTGAAGCTGGAGTCCCTGCTCAAGCTGGCGGACGTCAAGGCCAGCGAGGGGTCCCAGCCCCGGCCACACGCCGGACGGCGCGGGGAGGGACCTGGAGCTTCACGCGCCGACGGGCCGGGCACGGAGGGTGCTGGCGTCGGCCCGCCGTCGAGCGACGGCCCGCCGGCGGCCCCGCCCTTTGCCCTCAAGCTGCGCAGCCTGCTGGACTTTGTGGCGTGGAGTGTGTACCGCGGCGAGGGTGCGGAAGTCCGCGCCGCCACGCAATACCTGGCCTCGGAGCTGGGCGCCCTGTCCGAGGCGGTGCGGCGCATGCAGAGCGGTGAGGGGCAGGGATGCGGTGGGTGGTTGATGAGAGTGCTGGTGGGCTCCCTTGAGCAAGGGCAGGAGGTGTGTGAGGGAGGGGTGGAAAGAACTGCAGGGGGGGGGGTACGACCAGTGCTGCGGTGGCGTGGAGTGCCGTGCCGAGCGCTTTTGTGGTGCGGCGGGGCGGCGTCGGGCGCCGAGGCCTTGGCCTATGATACCATGCTGGTGCTCCAGCTTTCCTCGCCCCACCCATGCCTTGCCTCTCTTGACCCGCGTCTTTCCCCTCCCCCACTGCACCTGAGCTCGCACCCTCAACACACACCCCTTTCCCCTCCCTACCCTACTCCCCTCCTGCAGACGTGCAGGAGGCCCTGAGGGCCCTGCAGGGCGGCCTGGCCTCGGCGCGCAAGGAGCACGCCACAGAGGTGGCGGAGGAATGCGCGGCGGAGGCGAATGCCTCGCCCGCGGACTTCGCGGCTGTCCTGGGGGCCTTCCTGGCGCAGGCAGAGGCCCAGCTCGCCGAGCTGAGCGAGGCCAGCGCCGCCACCGAGCAGGAGGCGAGGCGCACCCTCGAGTGGCTCGGGGCCGGGGTCAACCAGGATGCGGCCTCCGTCTTCGAGCTGCTGCACCGCCACGTGACGGCCTTCGACGCCGCCTACGCCACGGTGCACCGCCTGGCCACGCAGAAACGATAGGCCTCGGGGCGGGGAAAGGCGCACCCGGTGACGGACTGCCTGCATGAGCTGAACGCAGCATTAACATTGCCCAGCGCCGACATCTTTAGCAGCATAAGCCAGCCCATATGCCCACAACTGAAGCAAGGAAATGCATGTTGCGAATAGCATAGAGGGCTGACGGGCTCGAGCGGCAAATGATGTACAAGACAGTCCCCAGGGGAACAACTCGTGGCATTGGAAAGGGCGACGGCCCTGGTCCACCCAACCAGCACCCCCGGCAATGACCGGGCCTTCCCGGCTTTCTGTCACCAGATCGCCAGCCCCAACATCCCCGAGCATCAGAGCAGGTGCCTCCTCCCTCGAGGCTGTCCACGTCCGCTCCCGACAATGTGTGGGAAGACCTTCTGCTCCTGCAAGATGGTGTACGCCCTGCCCTCCCGGGACTGCCTGCTCAGCCTCGCCGCCTTGGATGGGCCTGACGAACAGTATGAAAAAGGCGCCAAAGGTGAACGGCAATAATGGCCATGTCAACAGCACCCACCGTTGCTGCGCCGAGCGGAGGTGCGCGGAGAAGGGAAGGGGGGGGAGCCTGGCGTCGCCTGAACATGCATGCTCGTGGGGGAGTACCAGTCTTGCCGTAGTGTATATTGCCTTTTGTTGTCAAATGGACATGTATGCAATTCAGTGTCATGTTGTCGCTCCCAGCTGTGGCTGCCTACGAGGGCTCCATCCCATGCTGCACCCCAACCCCAACCTCCCTGCCCCACCCCGCCCCACCAGGCTCCTGGAGGCCTGGGTGGCGGACGCCAGGCGGCACGGCGTTCCCGCCGCGCGCGTCGTGTCGTGGGTTCGGCGCAAGTTTGGCGCGCACATGACGGTGTACCGGTGCCGTAAGGATGGGTCCCTGGGCTGCTCCACGCCCTGCCTGCTCTGCTCGCGCGAGCTGGCCCGCTTTGACATCAAGGTGCACTGCTCCTTGGAGGGCGGGGCCTGGTACTCTGGGCGCGTGACGGACGTCGGCGCACCGGCCCCCATCCTGACGTCCGGCCAGCGGCGCATGATCAAGGGCAAGGCGGCCTGCATGGCCGAACGCACGCTCAAAACCCCCAACCTGGCCATACCCTTCCGTTGACGGGCTGCACTGACTATGCTCACGTATGGCACCTCTCGCTTCATTCTTTTCCATGTAAAGCTTCTTCACAAGATGCTGGATCAGCGAACAGACGATCGCTGGCTCAGAACGTGAGATCCAGATGGTATTGGAACCGGCAGGACCCAGGTCACATGGATTCAAAGTGTGCCGGCATCCGGCTTGCCGGGGCCAGGCACCTCCTGAGACCTTCCAGAGTTGCGTGATCGCACTGAGAACATCTGAATGCCTGATTCTCCTGCATATGGTTGCGCTGTTCCGGCGGCATGCATGCCCTGGCCGGCCGGGAATGGCGTCGGGACCCTAAACGCCCTCGGACGGGCCAAGAAGAGTTCCCGTTGCTGGGTGGAAGCTAGGAACAGGGGAGGGGGCCCATCTGGCATTTTCCGCACGAACAATTCCTCGGTACGGCCCCTGAGCAAGCCCACCCCGAAAGCTACGACCACATACCGGCAGAGGCACAAAGCATCTCTGCATTTCTTCGCCCCCAAGCAAGCAGCATGGCGACCGCAGAGAAACCCAGCTCCGACAGCGGCTGGGCCAGCAAGGTCACGTCCTCCGTGAAGAAGGCGGTCGGCATGCAATCCAAGGATGATTCCGCCAGCAGCGCACCCGAGGTCGCCGGGTCTCTGAAGAAGGGTGCGCTGGCATGATCGGTGGCGCGGTGCGGGTATGGAGCACGCTTGCTGCCCCCCCTCGACCCTGTCCATGCGTCCGTGCTCAGCCGGCATGCAACACTCTCGATCTGGTTGTAATGCGTCCTCCTATGTTTTACGCAGGTGCTGGGGCCCAGGCGGTCCCCGGAAGCGGTGCGCCGGCGTGAGGGTTGGAGGTCGCGAGAGGCATGAGGTCATGCTCCCCCCCTGAGCTGGATGCCCACCTGTACTGGGCCTTTAAGAGCTCAGTAGCACTCACCTTGCCCCTGATATGGGGACTAGCTCTCATTGATGGACTCAATCGGTCGAGAGATGCATTCTGCGCTGCTCTCTCCTCATGTTCATCCCTGCTGTCCCCACCTCCCTGCAGGCAAGCCCAGCACCCTGGAGATCCCCGAGGGCCCCCAGGCCAGCGAGGCGCCCGCCACTCCCGGGGTCACTCTGCACCAGCCCCGCCAGGCCACCTCCCCCGGCTCCGTTACCTCCGAGAACGCGCCCACCCCAGGCGACAAGGAGTCGGAGATCGGCAGCCCCCGCTCCCACGCCATCCAAGGCGAGCGGGTGCAGGTCGAGCGCCTCGGCGGGCCCGGCGAGGCCGCGCTGGCGGCCGTGGGCGAGGGCGAGGAGATCACCACTGTGGACGCCCGCCCCGACTTCGAGGTGGAGTCCATGGCCGCCGCCGACGTGGCGAGCATCAAGCAGCAGGAGGCCGCCCTCGTGGTGCGCATGGGGCCCAGAGGGTGGTGGGTTCGGTGATTCTGGGGAAGAAGGAGGTGGATCCCTGGCGCGTACAAGAAGATGCAACCCTGGCCTTGAACAGCAGATGGCTGGCGTGCAGCTCATCCGCCGTCGCTGCCTTCAACCGCCCCCATTCCCCTGCCAGGCCGCCCAGCGCCAGCAGGAGCTGGAGGAGAAGGAGGGGGAGCTGCAGCGGTTGAAGGAGCAGGCCGAGACGCTGGAGGTGGATGCCGAGGGCCTGCTGGCCCAGGCCTCGCTGGAGAAGCTCAAGGTGGACCAGGCAGAGGAGAAGCGCGCCGAGATCGAGGGCAACGAGGCGGCGCTGTACGGTGAGGCGGAGGCCGCGGAGAAGGAGCGCCGCGCGGTGGTGGCGCGCGCGCGCCCCATCGCGGCGGAGGCCGAGGCCCGCGAGCGCGACGCGGCGGCGGTGAAGGCCCAGGCGGCGGACACCGAGTACCATGCACAGGTGCTGGAGGCGCGATCCCGCGCACTGCTGGCGGAGTCGGAGGAGCTGAAGACGCTGTCGGAGAGCAAGGCCGCGGAGGCGGAGCTGTTCGCTGCGGAGCTGACCATCGTGGAGCAGGAGCGGGAGGAGATCGCGACCAAGGCGGCCTCCATCCACTCCGGCGACCTGCCCGCCCGCATCCAGGCCAACCAGGTGGAGATCGGGGTGTTGTCGGCGCGCATCAAGAAGCTGCGCGACGAGATCGAGTGGGCGGAGGCAGAGGTGCGCAAGGTTCGCGCCGACGCCGACGACTGGCAGCGCATCGCGGCGCGGAAGAAGCACGAGACGGCGGGCCTGACGCTGCGCATCAGCGAGGCGCGTGAGGCGGCGCGCCTGGCGCTGGAGCGCTCGCGCGAGGCCGCGGAGGAGGCGCGCGCGCCCTCGGAGTTCGCCGAGGCCAAGTACGGCGAGGCGGCCGAGCTGGCCAAGCGCGCCGAGGCGCTGGAGGCGGAGGCCGCGGGCCGGCGCGAGGAGGCGCTGGCCGTGCTGGGCGACGCCGCGGCCCCCGTGGCGCTGCGTCAGGAGAAGCTGCGCGAGGCGGCGGAGGCGGAGGCCGCTGCGCGCGCGCTGGAGGCCCATGTGGCGCTCGTCCGCGGCCGCGTGGACCGCCGGCTTTACGAGTCGCACGTGCGCACGGAGACCGCGGCCGTCAAGCGCGGCGAGGCGGGGCCGCTGGAGGCGGAGGTGGAGCGCGCGCGCGCTGAGACCACGCAGCACGAGGAGGCGGCGGAGGAGTACGGCGCGCAGGCGGAGCGCCACCTGGAGGCAGGGCCGGCCGTCGTGGCCGCCAACTGAGCGATGGATGCGGGGGAGAGGGGGTGGTGTGGGGCCCTGTAGGCGCAAGACCGCGGGAGGTGTAGGACCGCAGGAGGCGTCGACACAGTGTGCGCTGGGGGAAGTGTCTGATTGGCACCCGCGCTCCCCAGTCTCACCCTGGCCATTCTTTCGGACCCCCTCCAAAGCCGGTGCTGAGGCTGCAGGCCTGACCCAATGCATGACCGCCGACGCACCTGCGTCGGCTGTCCACCCACACGCCAGGCGGCGCTCACCAGCCGGCCTGGGGCTGAATGTGTAGCTCTTTTTTCCCCTGCGTACTCACCTGTAGGTCGCCGTGGATGCCTTGTCTCGTAAATACCCCAGGCCTGGCATGATACCTTCCCTACACCATACCGCTCCACGTGCTGTGCTACCCATCGTCTTGAACCCATGAGCCATGCAAGAATGTGCAGTTTTCAGGACGGCAGGGGTGTTGCAGGGGGCTGCAGGACTGCTTGTTAAGAAAGGGGGAAACAATATTGATGGGGGGTTGGTGGCAACTCTTCAGGCCGACGAGCGCACGATTCACGAAGGCGCCGAGCAGGAAGCCGAGTCCTGGCAAATGGGCTGGAACAACCCAATTGCGCAGCCACGAGCGATCTGATATGCCTGAATACTACATGTGTCCTAGTTTGAGTTTACCCACCCGTTTACATAAAGGTCTTCCGCCCTCCCATCATGAGAGGCCCGGCCAAAGACGTGGCGCCCGTGAGCAGTATTCTGCCCACCGACGCAGAGGCCATCAGCGAGGATGAAGACGTGGAAGAGGAGGAGCATGAGTGGTTGTTGGGATTCGTGGAGACCCCACTGAGTCCCGAGTCCCTCCTGCGCCACCGCTTCCCCAGCAAGCTGGGTGGGCGACCCGCCTGGCTGGACCCCTTGCGACTGCCCTCCCCCGCCCAGCTCGCGGGTCCCGATGAAGGGTCACCGCTCAGCTTCCTGCTCCAAGTCTATGCTCCCGTCGACTCCGACGCGGCAGCCTTCCACAGGACCGTCTTTGTCTTCATACACACAGACGTGAGTAGCACTGGCAGGGCTGTGGGGCGGCGGGAACGGTATGTGGTGGTATCTGATGGACATCTATATCCACCAATTTATGCAGGCAGCCTTGAGTAACCTGCCAAGGCCAATGTAACACGCCGTGGTAACTCACCAGGCTCCCTTCGCACACCATGCAGGCGGCTCAGCTGCTGCAGCCAGGCGGGGTGCGGGCGCTGAGGTGCCAGCTGCCCCTCGTCAACGAATTCTATGGCGAGGCGCCTGCGCCAGAGGAAGAGTCCCGCCCACGGCGTGTCCTCCAAGATCCCACCCACCCCGACCAGTGGGATGTAGCTCGGGCCGAGCAGGGCGACCTGCCGCAGAGCACCGGCCGATCGCCTTTCATCTTCCCGGAGGCCGAGCTGGTGGTTGAGGAAGAGAGCTCGGCCAGCGATCCAGAGCAGCAGGAGAGGGAGCTGCAGCGACTGATGAAGCGTGCCTGCATTCAGGTGGGGGTGCTGGGCGAATGGCTTTTATGCTCCAGGCTGGGGTGTGGAGGGGAAGAGTAGGGGTACCTCATTCAGTGTCTGGCACCTCGCACCGACCTCCTGTCTTCCACACTGCGCCATGCACCCTGCCCTCTGCGCCCCCGGCGCAGAACACGGGCGGCGGCGGGGCTGGCGACGAGGACAGTGAGGACGAGCCAGGAGTGATGGAGGGCGTCGAGGCACAGATCACCGACGACCAGAGGGACTTTGCTGCCTTCTCTGCCAGGGTGGGTGGGTGGGTGCGATGCTGCGCTGCGGTTGGCTGGCGGGATGGGATGGCGGCTTGTTGGAGCACGGGTGCGGCATTGGCTTCATGTGAGCAGCTTACGAGAGACCCTCCCACTCGCTGTCGTTCCTGCCACTCACTCGCTTCACCCCGCTCCTTGATTTTCCCTTGCAGATTGCAAGTGAGCCGGCGCAGTGCCTGCGCTACTGCTTCGAATCGGGCGCACGGCCCCTGTGGCCTTGCAGGAAGCAGACGCCTGGGGAGCAGGACATCCCACCCTGCTCCCGGTGTGGTGCCCCCCGACGCTTCGAGTTCCAGGTGAAGCAGGGGGAGCGGGTGGTGTGCTTGAGAGTCGACAGAGGAGCGTCGTCGGAAGAAGTGTCTTCCCTGGTGACCGATGGAAGGCCTGCTGATGGGTGGGCTGGTCGTGGCATCAGGTGCAGGAGGGAATTCCTACAGGCGTGTATCGACTACATCCTCTTCCCTGCCGCATCTGATCTCCCAGTTCAACTTGCCAATTCCCACTACCACCCCTGCAGATCATGCCACAGCTGCTGACCCACTTAGGCATCGATGATGCGAGGGAGGATGCCCTTGATTGGGCCATGCTGGCGGTGTACTGTTGCTCAGCCAGTTGTACCCCAGGCGAGAATTTAGCTTCAGCATACCTGGACGAGTTTGTGTGGGTACAACCTCCCTTACGATGAGGTTATTGCAGTGGCAGAGTCGTTATGAGTTTCCCAACCCAAACCCTTGTAAACCCCTCATTGCTGATTTGTTCAAGGTGTTGAATGTGAAATTGAATGTATACATGTCACACAATCACCAAGCTGACGGGTGGGTGCAAAGGGAATCAGGATTATGCGCAAGCCCACACATTCAACCAGGAATGGAACGACGCATCACTCAAGGCGTGAAGTTAGCAAGACAATGCAGGGCACAAAAGCAGGGGTAACGATGTGGTTTACTGTTCATCGGATGGGTGCAGGGGAGAGAGGGGTGTGTGATGCAGGATGTGGGGAAGGGTACACTGAATTCAGCGCACTGTATCAATGCAAGTACTCCCAGGGGAGACTACAGTTTCTCCGTTCACTGCTTGATGGTGGACTCCTGCTTTGCTTTCTCCTCCTTGCGGTACTGCTCAGTAGTCTCCTTGACGGGAAGATCCACCCGCCCGGCAGAGGTGCCCTTGGGCTTGCTGGGCACGGTGTCAGCCAGGTTGGTGGTGGTAATCTCCTCCCTCTGCCCTGACTCGCTGCTCTCCACACGACCGCGGTTGCTGGTGGCAGTCACTTTCTGATGCTCCACCTCGCTGTGCTGGGCGGTGGTGCCACCGCTGCCGACGGCTTGCAGCCTGCGCTTAGTCTCCTCATTGGAGATCCCGCGCGCCGCATCGCCGTGCTCCTTGGCGCGCGCCCAGTGCTCCTCCTCCTTCTGCTTAAGGGCCAGGGCCTCATCGCGGTACGTGGTCACACTGGACAGCTTATCCTGGCTGGCTGCCTCCGCCTCCAGCTTCAGCTTCTGCAGACGCTCGACATCCGAGTCCAGTCCATCCTTCTTGGCGGCGGCGGCGTCGGCGGCGCGACGCGCCTCCTCAGCACGGCGCGCCAGGTCGGAGTCAGGGACGACGGGGATGACCACGCGCTCGGCCTCGGTGCGCTTGGACACAGCAATCTCCTCGTGCTTGCCCGCCTGCGCGCGGCGCGCGGCGGCCTCGCGCTCCAGCTGCGCGGCACGGTCCTCGGCGCTGGCCTTGGAGCCCAGCAGGGCCTGGGCCTCGCGCTCCAGCTCGGCCTTGCGCTGCAGAGCCTCCTCGGCCGCACGCTCCGCGCCATCTGCGCGGTCGTCCAGCTTGTCGACAGCCGCACGCTTGCGCTCCGCCTCCTTGGCGGCCTCAGCGGCCTCCTTGGCCAACTCCTTGGCATGCGCCTCCAGCTCCTTGGACAGATCGCGGGCGGCCCAGTAAACCTTGGCGATCTCGTCAGCCTCACGGATCTTGTCGGATGCGGCGCGCATCGCGGTGTCGGCCGCCTGCTGCTTCTCCGCAGCCACACGCTCCTCGGCCGTCAGCTCGCGTTGGAGGGAGCCCACCTGAGCGCGCAGGCGCGCAGCCTCCTCCTCACGCTCCGCAGCCTGCTGCGCGGGCTTGGAGGTGCGCAGCGCGTCGATACGCTTCTGCAGGTCGATGGCCTTCTTGTGCGCGGCCTCGGACTCGGCGTCCAGCTTGTCAGCCTCAGCCTTCAGGTCGGCGGCGGGGGCGGAGGACTTGGAAGCCTCCTCCAGGATCACCGCGCGGCGGCGCTCGGCCTGGGCGGCTGCGGCGCGGGCTGCCTGCAGCTGCCTCTCCAGGTCGGCAGCCTCAGCCTGCTTGCTCTCGGCCTGGCCATCCAGGTCGGAGATGCGACCCTGGGTGTCGCGCAGCTTACGCTCCGCCTCAGCCCTGGAATTGAAGGGGGGAGGGGGGGAAGAGGGGGATGAATGACCTAGAATAAACGATAGATGTATGCAAGGTAAATCAAATTAATCATTAAAGCTTCAAACCAGCACCATGACCCTTCAAACTCAAGGTAGGCACTGCAGATGGGAAAACTACAATGTACAAACAAACCCTGAAACACCAATACCCAGCGCACTTGAGCTTGGCGGCCTCGGCTGCCTGGGCATTGATGGTGTCGACCTTGGAGGCGAGGACCTCGGCCTTGGCAGCGGCCTGCTCGGCACGCACGGTCTCGGCCTCGGCCTTGCGCCACTCGTCGGTGGTCTCCTGCGGTGATGGGAATAGTAGTAATTATGAGCAAGATGCAATGGGTTGAATCTCACAAATCAGGATACGAAAGGGCCTCCGCGCAATGGCTCGCACATGTCGGGGCCATGCCCAGCAAATCCCAAGCCAACCCCTCAGCACACCTTGCTCGCGGCGCTGGCGCTGGTGGAGGTTGTCACGGTCTCGACACGCTCGCTCACAACCTTCTCGGCGCTGGTGACGTTCTCACCGAGGCCAAATGTGTTGCGAATGGCGCCGAAGACGCCACCAGACTTGTTCTCGCCCACGGGGTGGCTCTGGACATCGCGGGCAGACATGATGGATGTTCTTAACTGGTCAGGAAGTGGGTTTTCGGATTGGGTCGACGTTCTGGATGATGGGCGAATGGGCGAATAATGGTGCCTGGCAATCGGATTTTGCCATTTACCGTGTCCATGATGCGCGCCGGCGAGTTGCTGTGTAGTTGGATGTCGCCTTCGCAGCAGCTGCCGCCGGGCAGCTTCTGCCTAGATGCCGCCGCCCGCGCGTCTGCTGTGTCCATGCCTCCCGGCGCTCTGTGCGCCGGCGTGCCGGCGCTGAATAATAGAATAATGTAGTCATGCACATGATGGTGTTTGAAGCTAAACCAGTGGCCACCGTGCCCTTGGATCTCTCAGTCGGAGCTTGTCCGCCACTTCAGACGGATGGGATCTGGATGGCTCCATCTTAGAATGTGCCAGTCCCTCAAAATGAGCGCAAAGATTACAGAAGTAACCAAGTTGAAAGCTAGTGGTTCTATGATAGCATATCTTACTTATAAAGTCTTGGCTTTCTCGGGTGACCATTGCTCAACGGGCTGTTTCTCAGTACGGCTTTCGTAAGAGGGCAATCTCACGCAGAGCTGCTGGTGCCGTACTGCATCATACGCGGTCCACTGGTATGGAGTGCGTCATTCGTGTGAGTGTGTGGAAGGAGTGCATACATGAGCGGGCAACTGCTACAAGGGTATAGTGGGGAAGGGGTCCCCTTCGCTGGACGCCCGGTGCCCATTCCCACCCACCTGCTCTCCATTATTGATTCATTTTTCACAGAGCATCGCCCATCTTCTTTGCGTGATGCATGGCATGGCAAGGGTTGGTGTACGGGTGAAAGGGGTTTGCCTCACGTGGGAATCCCTTCAGCATTCTCGCAGAGGCAGGTTCCCAATGCGTTTTCTGGGAATTCATGTGAGCATGCTCACAATATGAATACAACAGCATATTTATTTGCTCGCCATCTCCTGATCAGCCGACAGCCTGGTAGCTAAAAAATAAGATATTGCCATTACATCCACATAATCTAATAAACGTGCTAAGAACTGTCTGTCTGTGATAGTGCAGGTAGAAGTTGCAAGATTTTCATGTCCTGTGCATCGTATACTCGGTCTCTAGGAAGTTGAAATCGAGTTGAGCTCCTGTGTGTCAAGTGGGGAGATTGTCTGCGTGTCTCAGCTACCCAACTTCTGTCTAGCTGCGATCACTCACCAACAAGCACGCCCCCCCAAGACGATACAATCACTTACCCCCGTCACAATATCTAGAATCCTTCCATTACGCCATTGCAGAGCATAACCTTCTCGTAACACTCTCTCGAACTCTCTCATCATGTCGTCGGAGGGTCGTCCCAACCCCATCACCAAAGCCGCCGAGTCTTCGAACCTGCCGCGAGAGGCCCGCGCTCGTCTGGGTTTGAACACCGATCCCGTTCCCGAGGGAAAGATCATCGATGCCGCCCCGGAGTGAGTACACACGGAGTAGCTGGTAGCCCCATCATGTCGGAGTGCCGAAGGTCGACATCCCGCTTATGGTGTCGGGATCCGCTCTCAACCCATCGCTCGCATCCCTCGGGTACACAGGCACTACCATAAGATCACGCCCGAGGTCCGCGATGGGGAGAAGAGCCAGGAGGGTGACGAGGAGGAGGATGGTCCTGACGCCGTGGCCCGTGCCGGCTTCCAAAAGGTGGGAAGCGGGGGTGGTCGTGAATGGCGTGGATATAAATCTTCGCAGGCCCCAGATGGGCAGCCCATCGATGCCATGCATGTCTTCCTTTGCAGGCTCATGCAACAGCAGATGTAACGAATCTATTCCCCCGCTCTTCCCACCCCTGCACTTTGGCAGGAGATGAACAAGATGCAGGCAGAGCAGGTCAAGAACCAGGGCAAGAACCAGGCAGGGTCCCCCGGACACCAGGTATACCACAATGCAGGCCAGATGCGGATGGACTCCAGGTCCAGGCAAGTTGGGGATAAAGGGGGCAGAGCTCTTGGTATGTCCATCGCCACTTTTGTACTCTGTAAGGTTACAAACACCACTCCTCCCTCCCCATCATTTTGGAACAGGGGCGGCGCCCAGAACTTCCAGGGCAGCAAGCAAATGGACTCCGTGTACAAGTCTCAGTGACTCGTCTTCCCTGCAGCCTGTATTGAACTGATGCTGATGATCCTCTTGCAAGACACGAAGTGGCGCAGGCACCGCACACCATCGCAGGGAGGGGGCAGTCAGGGGTTGTGGTCGCCAGCAGGGTGAAAGGGTATCGATGTTTCGACACTGGCGTGCAGAAAAATAAGCAGGGAAGCGGTCTATCAGCATCAAAGAAAGGAAAATCGGTCAAATCACTCCTGGGCGTGCTCGTTTCTGCACAGTCAGGTCTGGGCCGCCGTCGGAGTCGTCCTCGTCCATTGGAGTGGCACCGCCGTTTGGCACAGTGCCTGCTGCGTCAGCATCAGGATCTTCCTGGCCCTGGTCTGACTCTGCTTGGATGACCACGGGGAGGAATAGCAGGTCCGAGGATGCAGGGGTGGGTGTGTTGCTGGGCCCCCGGGTGACGATGTCCAAGTCAGCATCCACATTTGCAGGCAGGGATTGATCTGGGGACAGGTGGGGCAATGCAATCCTCAAGAGTGAGGCAGCTTTGCAGGAAGTGGCTCGACAGGATGGAATATGGATCGACCAATTATATCGTGTTCATCTCAACCATCAAGGTCTACAGCAGGGCGTGGCAATCGACTCCTCACATTTCCATGCCAGTCTCACCGGGAGTAGCTGCACGCTGCACCACGTCAAACTCGTCCTCACGCTCTATGTACTCCTCGTTCTCCTCGAGTTCCCGGAAGTCTGGGGCAAAGGCTGTCCACTTGTCACTCAAGATCTGCATCGGGTGGAACTGGTGATTTGGTTCAGCGAGAGTGATGCCTAGGGTACCGTGGCAACCACATGACTGTAACAAGGAAGCACAAGCTCGCATGCCAAACGCCACCTTGGTCCAGATGAAGATGCTGCCGCTGCCTCCGAGTGTGAGCAGCTGCATGGGGTAGAGCTGAGGATGCCACGCCATTGCCAAAACACCATGCGCCCCGCGTATGCCTGTGAGGGGCAGGGTGGGGGCGGGTGATTGGAGAAGACGGGGGCAGTAGCAGGCGGAGACCTGGTGAGGAGAGGCACAGGGGCAAGCATGCGCCAGCGCCGGGCCGGGGCACCCATGCTGAGGTTGGATAGTTGTTTCAGACAGCGTCCGATGAGGCTCGACGTGAACACGCACTTTGTTCGCGAAGATGCCTCCTCCACTTGCCGCCTCCCAACCCCACTCCTTTTCCCAGTCCCACCCGACTCACACTCCAACACCCGATCGGTGTGCCCGTAGTGGGAGTTCCAGGCGTAGATGACATGCTCGGTCTGGCCGGCCACGGCCGCCAGCACATACTCCCCATCTGCATTGAATTTGGGATGAAAAGGCACATCATGTCGCGGGTGCGTCGGTACACGCCCAGGGGCAGAATCCCAGCCCGCATCGCACACAGGAGCCCGAACAGACACAGCCAGGGAGCCAGCCCAAGGCAACGGCGCTCCCTCAGAAGACCCACCTCCAGAGAAAGTGGCGGCACTCCACGTGTTGCGCTCGATCTGCTGCTCAAAGCGACGGGAGGGCCGCAGAAGAGCTCCCCGCTCCTCGTAGAAGATGCTGCCGGACGGCCGCCGCGTCTGCACGATGTGCATGCAGAGGCTCGTGCGGGGTCCGCGCAGGGGAGGGGCGGCTGCCGGGCCCGGCGCATGCCGGCCTCCTGGGTCCCCCCTCGCCCTGCTGCCTGGCCATGCATGCTGCTGACCCACCCCACAGCGTCCCTGCCCCCTCCCGTCGGAACTCCATTCCCCACTCCCGCGCACCTTGGCGGCCACCAGGGCCTCCACCTCGCCAGGATCGCGTGCCGGCAGGGCCTCCAGCCCCTGGGCCGGTGCCTGCATGGCGTACACCCGCACCGCCCGATCGTTGGCGAGGACGATGAGCCGCGTCCCGCCGGGGTCGAGCTCAAGGCTGCTCACGCGCAGCGCTGCCTGGACCTGGGAGGGGGGACGCGGGGAAAGTAAGGAGGGGCAGCGTGCCGAGTGATGAGACTGTCCACGGTGTGCAGGAAGAAAGAATGACCAGGAGTGTGGAAGATCATGTGCACATGGCAAAAAAGTCGACGCCCTGTCTGAGCTGCAAGGTGCTGGCCCTGAGTGATTGTCCACGCAGAGCATCATCTTGAGCAGGAATAGGACGGGCCCTTGGGCCAGGCTCTCACTCCTCTGCACGCCATCCTCTTTACCAAGTCACGATGCACAGGTCGCAAAACCACACACTCTCCCCGACCATGCTGCCAGCACCCCCCTCCCGACTCGCACCCTGATGGCGTCGATGATGGCCAGGTCCGAGGCCCGGACGACCAGCAGGGCCCCTCGCATGGCAGCGTAGATGAGGGCGCTGCCGGGGGCGGTGGCGGCCGGGTACCCGCTGCTCGTGGCCTGCTCGGCCAGGCTCGCGCCGCCCCTGCCATCCTTGCCAGCTTCGGCCCCGGCGCTCGTGGCCTCTGCAGGGGCCGGCTCGGGCGCCTCAGGTGGGTCGCACGCGCTCCAGCCGGCCAGGGGCAGGTGCTGGATGCCCCCGCCGCCCACAGTCAGCACGGCGGGCGGGGCGGCGCGGAAGGTGAGCAGCAGCTGGCCGGGACCGGGACCGGGGCACAGGGAGACCACGGCGCCGCGGCCGAGGGGCTGGCTCGCGGTGGGGCGGCCGGAGAGGACGTCCCAGGTGACGATGCTGCCGTCTGCGCCCCCAGACATGATACTATGGCCATCCGGGCTCCACACCAGGCACCGCACGGCGCCACTGTGAGTGCAATGGGAGGGTGCTTGGGTCGTTGAGATATACTGCGCAACCGGTGTGCCTGTAGCATGACCTTGCAAGGATGCCGCTTGGTGCGGCGCATACATAATGGATGGCAGGGGAGCAGGCGTCGCCTGCGCCACAGACCATTCCCCTGGAATGCAGGAAGAAATCGATCTTGCTCCTGACACAAGGCCAAGCACCCGTGATCAACAATGTGTGATGACGCCCCGTGAGCACCCTGCGCACTTGTGCCCGTCCTTCCAGGTCCGCACCAGCGCCCTGGTCTGGTAGTTCCAGATCAGGATGTCACCCCCCGCACATCCGGTGGCTAGCAGTGTCCCGGAAGGGTTGAAGGCAAGGCAGAGGGCGGGCTGGCCTGGTGGTGGTTTCAGCACCTCCTCGCAGTGCTCCGGCAAACCCACCAGTTCAGATGCATCTGCGATGCAATCAATGGGGCACGGAGGCGGAGGTTTTGTCCTCATAGGTACAAGTTTTGGAACCACACCCCTTGACGTTCACCCTTCCGTGCTAGAGGTCCTGAGCGAGCGTACCGAGGAGGTCTGTGGTGACTCCCATGCCGGAGTCTCCCACGCCGACTCCCTTCCTGGACCAGACTGGATCGGGAATGAGGTGGAGAGCATCTAGCTTGTAGCAGCATCGCCTCATGCACACAGCTTCACAGGCCGATCCCCAGATCACAGGTTGAACCAGGCGTTCGCGCGCGCCTGGCACCCCGGGCCCTCAGTGATGCAATCCGCAAACCCCCTCCACTCCCAGAAACCCAGTCAACCCTCCCCGAGGCCGCCAGTGCCCTCGATACTGCGTCCCCAGTGGTCCTTATTCTGATTCGCCTGCGTCGTTGGGGTCGAACAGGACTCGTCAGTAGGTGTGGGCACCTCCTTGTCAGCAAAAGGCGACGCTCACCGCCCGTTCCCCGCGACGTCAGCACCACCATGGCGAGCGGATTTGGGCTGCGTGGTGGACCCAACAGGCACGCGGCAGGAGGGCAGAATGGTCGTGGAGGAGTGCTTTCCCCACCCGTGCGTCATCCCTTTACGGCTCACCGTGCTGCAGGTGTTACGCAGTGTACATGGACTTCTCTGAGTGCATGAGCAAGACTGACGACCCCAAGAAGTGCAATGACTTCCGGGAGGACTACCTGGAGTGCCTGCATCATCGCAAGGAGGTGTGCTAGAGGGAGGGGGCGGGCACCCCGCATCTTAGGGGCTCGGCAACCAAATGGTAGTGGCCAGATCGACAGCACCTCAATGCAAATCCTTACAACACGATTGTGCAGTACCTCAAGCTGAACACGCTGTTCAAGGAGGTTGCAAGGCAGGAACGGGGCGAGGGCGCCGATGACCACCAGGGCGGAGGCCATTGACAGTCTGAGCTGGGGAGTCACTCGAGGCAGCAGGGCCCTGCGCACACGAGCGCCTGCATGCAAGGAGTCGCCCTGTGTCCCTGCACCCATAGCTCGACTGCTTGGATGAAATCCGAGCGGACCGTAGAATCACCGCCAGGGGAAGTTGATCAGGAAGAGGATGGGCCAGCTAGTATGCGTCATAGCCACCCTCGTCACCAGGCGACCTCGACACGAAGAAGAGGAGGGCGCTGCCCAGGATGCATGCCACCTCCAGCACACTCGCTATGCCGACCCATCGGGTGTCTGCCAGGGGAATTGGGGGCAGGGGGGTTGTGGAGATCCAGATTCCGATTTGAAGGCCAGCCCATGGGGGCTGGTGGTGTGACGGTGGGCGCACACGGGAATAGAAGGACCATCTGGGAAGGCATCCAAGTGTGCAGACAGATCATGGAAAGGAAACATGCACCCCTTCAGTCCAGGGGGCGCTTGCTGTGGGCAATGTTGAGACTGGGAAGCCCTACACCGCGACGGGCAAGCATCTGCAGCTGCCCGGGCGACAGGGCAGCCAAGAAGAAAACCCGTGAGGATCTGGCCCTGGCGTGTCCCGGGGAGCACACAAGAGATGGGGTCCCCATCAAGCACCGCACAGGTTCAGGGGCCTTCCCTGCCAATACCGAGCCAGATTTGGACGTCGACCCAGGCCCCATCCCTAGAGTCCACCCATCACCTTGAGCACTGCTGCCAAAGTGGTGCAGCATGACAAACACTGAGCCTGTGACGGCTCCAGAGGAGACGAGGTAGGCCGCCAGCAGCCAGGACCGCGACCGACAGTACACGCCGTCATCGCTGAAGGGATCGTAACTTATCTCGTCCCTGGAGGCAACGGCATGGCAGAGCTGGACGCTGAACAAGGTGCATTGCGTTCTAAGCTGTACGGTGACATGTATGTGAGGCTCTCTGATGAGTGGGGCTGCCAAGCAAGACTTTGCAGGGTGAAGGCCTTGACTAACCCCTGCTTGCCTACACCCCCTACCTCCTGACAGCCGTGATCATGAGCAAGGCGAGGACCGCCACCAGTCCAGGGAGATACTGCAGTGAGGTCGGGGAGCGTAGGCGGTGGGAGGGTCTGGTCTCACTCCTGCTGCCAGCCCCTCAAGGGGTTTGCAAGCTCCACCCCTCACCGACCCCCGACGTGCCTGAGAGAAGGGCACCTTGATGGGGCTGATGGCAACAGCATCCAGCCAGAACCAGACACCAACGCCAAAGAGGGCGCCACTCAGTCCTGGCCCGTACTTTTCCGACTTTGACCTGCAGAATTCCGCCACCTCGGGCGAGACCAATAGGCTGAGGGTGTCGCTGCACCTCACAGCCGCGCTCTCCAGGGTGTAAGCGGCCATTCCCGGCAGACCGGGGTCGCAGACTTGCCAGGGGAATAGGGGAGGGTCGTCACTGCGGGGTGGGGCAGGGTTGATCACTTTCTCAACCCTCATTCCGCGCGCGCGCATTCGGTGGCGAGGCGTCACACTCCCACCTCCTCCTCATGCGCCTCACGTGCATGCCAGCCCTCGCACGGGAACTTTCCGCCGATCTACAAGGCTGGTGTGCTGGCAGGACGGTCGCCACTCGAATCCCGAGTCCCATGGGCCAGAACGAGTCTTCGGGGGTGGAGATGGCGTCGGAGGAGGCGGCACCCCGGCCCTGCGCCTTGGTGGTGGTCGGCCCCTCCGGCGTGGGCAAGGGGACGCTCATCTCCAAGCTCATGCAGAGCAGCTCCAAGTACGGATTCTCCTGCAGCCACACCACCCGTGCCCCCCGGCCTGGAGAGAAGGTGAGGGACTGCTGGTGCGGCGTGGGTGTGCATGGCTTTCAGGCCCCTGGGCGCCCTGCTCTACTTTGTGGCAGGCTTCACGCATACTGCCTTGGAATCGCGACTGCACGTCCCTTTCTCGGCACCAGCGCCCCCCACCCGCCCCACCCACCCCACCCACCCACCCGACACAGGACGGGGAGCACTACCACTTCACGACGCGGGCGGCGTTCGAGGCTGGCATCGCGCGCGGCGACTTCCTGGAGCACGCCCACGTGCACGGCAACATCTACGGCACCTCCGTCCAGTCGGTGCGCGATGTGGCCGATGCCGGTCTGTGCTGCGTGCTGGACATCGACGTGCAGGGGGCACGGCAGGTCCGCGCGGCGGGGCTCCCCGCCCTCTTCGTCTTCATTGCGCCGCCCGGCCTGACCGAGCTGGAGGCGCGCCTGCGCGGGCGGGGCACCGACAGCGAGGAGCAGATACGCACGCGCCTGGCCACCGCGGCAGTGGAGTTGGAGAGGTGGGCGACTGATTGGGGGTTGTGAGGCGGTGGGTGTGTCTCAGGAGGGCAGGCGCATAACAAAAGAGTACGGCTGCCATAGACGGCGCTCGTCTTGCGCGGGCGAAGCCCGATGCAAGCCCTGTGCTGGACTGACGGCCCAGCTGATTGCCTGCCGGCGCCGGCGGCGCGGTGTCCGCCACGGCTGCCGCCTGTCTCCCGAGGCCCACCGACCAACAGACCCCTCGATTTCCCTCATGTGTTCACATCTCGCAGCCGGGGGGAGGAGGGGCTGTACGACTACATCCTGGTGAACGATGACCTGGAGCGGGCCTACGCCAGCCTGGCGGCGGTGGGCGAGCGGGCCCTCGCGGGCGCGGCGCCGGCGACCCCGGGGGAGGCCAGCGCCGCCTTCCGCACGGCGCAGGGGTCGGACGTGCAGGAGGGGCCTGGCCGGCAGCCGCCCGAGTCGACGTCGGGACTCCGTGGTGTGGAACTGGCGACGATAGAGGGGCCCGGCGCTGCGGGGGACGCGGCGATACCGATGCCTGCCGGTGCTGAGGATGTGGCGACCGCGACGCCGCCCGCAGCAAGCCCCGCCTCCCTTGCGGTGCCCTCCGCTCCCGGGAGCATTCTCATGGTCCTGCACGCCGGAGCCCCGCTGGGCGCCGAGCTGTGCTGTCAGTTGGCGGCCGCGGGGGCGCGCGTTGTCGCCGTGGCGGGCGACGCCCCGCCCCTGCTGGCCCTGCAGGAGCGGGTGCAGGGCCTGGGCGCCGCCGCCGAGCACGCGTTCCTCCCCGTCGTAGCGGACCTGGAGCGCGAAGGCGAGGTGCTGGCGCTGCCCCGCATCGTGGCGGAGCGCTGGGGCGGGGACGCTGCGGTGAGCGCGCTGGTGGTGTGCCCGCCGGATGAACCGCCGGCGGAAGAGACCAGGCTCCTCGTGGAGGCGCCGGCCCAGGCCGCGGCCGCGGCGCTGGCGATGGGGCTGGCGGGGCCGGCGGCCGTGGTCCGCAGCCTCGCGGCGGCGGGCGGCGAGGCGGCCGGACCGCTGCGCTTCGTCGCCATCGTGCGGGAGCCGGCGCGCGGGGGCGGGTGGCCCGCGCTGGCCGAGCGCGCGCTGCGCCAGCTGGCGCGCCAGCTGGCGCAGGAGGAAGGGGAGAAGGCGGGCGAGGGCGCGCGTGGCCTGGTCGCGGGCACGCTGACGCTGGCCCGGGAGGAAGCCGTGCGCGGCCTCGGCGCCACGCTGCTGCACGGCCTGGCCTGGCCGCGGCCGGCGGTGGCCTGGGAGGTGCGGCTCAGCTAACAGCAGCCCGAACTGGCTGGCGCCCACCTTGACAGGCCATTCAATGAACATCCACTAAACTGTGGCACTCGCCACGCGAACCTGCCGTGCGATTCCCCTCTCTCCCAGCTAATTTAATTCCCGTGCCCTCCAGATTATCGTCCCCAGCGGTTTGACAATCAAACAATGGCGTGATTCTCCAGGGTCGAAGTATAGCAATCGACCCGGGGGGCAACGGATGCTTGGCACAAATGCGCACGTTCGCCGCCCGGGGATCACACATCTCCCACATCTCATCTGTTCTGCTGCCGCTGCGTCGACCGCAAATCAAGACAAAGCTTCACTTGTCATCAATCTGCACCGCAAGTTCATCGAGGTGAGTCTGGTCGAGCCTGTTGCAGTCGGGCCCGGGGGAGATCTGCCTCGACGCCGTATTCAAACGGACACCAGCACCTGCCAAGACCTGTTCTTGCGCCTAGTACTCGCGGTTTCTCCTCTAAACCTTGCCTATCCTCTCCGCGCAGATGGTTTCCACCCAGATCTCCTCGGCCACCATCGGCTTCCCCCGCATCGGGCCCAATCGCGAGATGAAAAAGGCTCTGGAGTCCTTCTGGTCGGGCAAGTCCACCGCCGACGACCTGCGCACCGTCGCTGAGCAGACCGAGCGGGTGGCCTGGCTGTCCCAGAAGGATGCTGGCCTGGACCTGGTGGCCCTGGACTCCACTTACTACGACCAGATCCTGGACTTCATCACCTACCTGGGCCTCATCCCCAAGCGCTTCCAGGTTAGGAAAGGATCTTGCAGTCATGAGGGCAGGGCTGAGGTTGGACAGACTGTCCTTGCTTGTGCATGGGGTTGGGATGCCCACGGAGTGCAGTGGGACACGTGACTGATGGAGGACTGGCTTTGGAATGTGCCACAGCGACCCCCCTCATTCCGTTCCTGAACACAACCAGATGTCCCCTTTCTTCCCACCTGCAGCACCTGGAGCCGGGCTTCGCTCAGTACTTTGCCATGGCGCGTGGTGTGCACGGTGCCCACGCGCTGGACATGCAGAAGTTCTTCGACACCAACTACCACTACATGGTGCCGGAGCTGGAGGCCAGCCCCGCGGTCGAGGCAGACTGGTCCGGCCTGCTGGCCAAGGTGGAGCGTGGGCAGGCGGTGCTGGGGTCTGATGTGGCGGTGCCCATCCTGATCGGGCCCATCACCCTGGTGTCCCTGGCGCGCTACCCCGAGGGCACCGACGCCTCGGCCCTGGTCGGGGCGCTGCTGCCCGCCTACGTGGAGGTCTTGGGGCGGCTCAAGGCGCTGGGTGTGCCGGAGGTCCAGGTCTGTGATATGGGTGGATCCTCCGGCCGGGGGCGGGGCGTCGACGTTGTTTGTAGACTCTGTGTTGCCGGGGCCTGCTCTGCCGTGCACTGCACTGCGAGAGGTGTTGATGCCTGCATGCCATGTCAATGTTGTAAACTGCGGGACGGGGGTTGGGAGGGCTGTGCATGCCTTGCTCACTTTCTTTTGCCCTGCCTGTCTCCTGCCTTGTGCCTGCACCGTCGCAACCTTGATGATTGGCCGATTGGTAAAGCGCTCCCCCCTGGGAGAATAACGAGGTTCGAATCCTCGATCATCTCTACCCTGCGACCCTGCTCCGTGCACACTACTTGTTTCCTGTTGGGTGCTTGCTTCTCTCTGGGGGCCTGCCTGGGATGACAGGAGGGCCCAGACTCACAGACGGGGCAGGGGTTGGAAAAGATGAAGGGGGATCCAGAGCACGCGTGAGTGAAGGGGGAAACAATCAATGCCTGTTAAGTTTTCCCTCGTGAAACCATGCCTGCAGATGCACGAGCCTGTGCTGGCCCTGGGGACAGCCAATGAGCTGCAGGCCGATTTCGAATCCAGCTACAGCCAGCTGGCGGGCGTGGGGGTGCCACTCAACCTGGTGGTCTACTACGACGATGTGGAGGAGGACGTCTACTCCTGGCTGGTGCGCCTGCCTGTGCAGGCCATCTCCCTCGACTTCTGCGCCGTGCCCGGGGCCGCCCACGGCTGTGCCACCGCTGCCACCATCGCCAGGCTGGGCTTCCCTGAGGTGCGTACTTGGGATGGTTTTGCCCGCTTGTGGGTGACGACCTGCTTTGTTGAGGTGGGGCATGCGAGCTTGTTTGAGTTGGGTGCCGGACTGGACACTGGACTCTGGCAGCCCCTCATTACCCTGCATCACAACCACCCCCTCACACGATTGGCAGGACAAGCGGCTGGGCGCCGGCATCGTGGACGGCCGCAGCATCTGGAGGGACGATGGCACTGCAGTGGATCTCCTGGCCGCGCTCCGCGCAAGGCTTGGACCCAACCAGGCCATCGTGGTGCAGGTGAAGCCTGGTTGGGCAGTGAAACGTGTGAGGGGAAGAGGGAGGCTATTGAGAAGTACGAGACCGTGCACCAGTGATGCGACACCTCTGCGCTCTGATCCCCAGCACCACCCCCCAATCAATTGCCATCCTTGCCCCCCTCCCTCCCTTCCCGCCCAGAGCTCCGCGCCGCTGCTGCACCTGCCCTACGACGTGAGGGCCGAGAAGAACCTTCCGGGGGAGCTGACTGCCCGCCTGGCCTTTGCCCTGCAGAAGCTGGAGGTGAGGGGTGGGGTTTTGCAGGTGTCCAGGCGGCGGGGATGCGGGGAGGATGCAAGCGATATGGTGGGGGTGGGCTGGATATGGAGTGCACCGACAACCCCCGGGCCCCTGGCGTCCCTCTTGTTGCAACGCCACCCTTGCGCACAGCCTCACAACCCAGTCGCCCGCCTGTCGCGCCCCATCCCCTCATCCCGACCCCGGGTCACTCCACAACCCCTCCCCCCCCGCCGCCATGCAGGAAATCGTGGCCGTGGCCAAGTCTGGGAGCGGCACCGCGCCGCCCGCGCTGGAGACCTTTGGCGCCGCTTTCCCCTCCGACGAGGGCCGCTCCGGCATCGACGCCAGCAAGTACCACCGCAGCGAGGACTACGCCACACGTCGCCCAAAGCAGCCCCAGTTCCGCCCCTTCCCCACCACCTCCATCGGCTCCTTCCCCCAGACCGAGCAGATCAGGTGAAGGCTATGGCAGCAGGGGGAAGGGAGGGGCGGGGGGGATGTCTGTTACTGTGACATGAGCCGGGGGAATGGCTCGACGGCAGGCGCCTGTCCCGCGGTACAGTATCTGAGCCATGCAGCAGCGGCGGCTCCCTGTACGCGTCCACCCCTAATCACCCCCCCTTCGCCACCCTGCCCCGTCCTCGCAAAGGCGTGCGCGGCTGCAGTACAAGCGCGGCATCATCTCCACGGAGCAGTACAAGGAGCAGATCGGCGTGGAGATCGGGTATGCCATCGGCCTGCAGGATGCCCTGGACATTGACGTGCCCGTGCACGGCGAGCCCGAGCGCTCTGACATGTGCGAGTCGTGGGCAGGGGGAAGGTGTCGGGGTGGGGGGGAATGCCTGCCGCTCAGACCCGAGGCCAAGCAGTCTGTTCGTGTTCCTGCTGCATCGACCCATTCCATCCCCACACCGAACGCTCGTTCCGCCCCACCCACCCGTCCCCCCCCTTTGCCCTCCCAGGGTGGAGTACTTTGGCCTGAAGCTGGACGGCTACTCCTTCACCGAGCACGGCTGGGTGCAGAGCTACGGCTCCCGTTACGTGCGCCCGCCCATCGTGTCCGGGAACGTTACCCGCGCCGGGCCCATGACGGTGCACGAGTATCGCCTGGCGCAGGCGGTGACGGCGCGCCCCGTCAAGGGCATGCTCACCGGCCCGGTGACCATGCTCAACTGGTCCTTCCCGCGCAAGGACGTGGCACGCAGCGTGCAGGCCTTCCAGATCGCGCTGGCCCTGCGCCAAGAGATGGAGGACCTGGAGGGCGCGGGGTGCCGCATCGTGCAGGTGGATGAGCCCGCGCTGCGCGAGGGCTTGCCGCTCAAGGAGCGGCGCTGGGCGCGGTACCTGGACTGGGCGGTGGACGCCTTCAAGCTCTCCGTCGCCGGCGCCAAGCCCGAGACGCAGGTGGGTGATTGTTTTGGGGGTCGTGGGGTGGGGTGCGCCGGGAGGGAGTGGGTGGGTAGTGTGCGTCCATGGTCTCAAGCTGTGAGGAATGTAGGTGTTGGGGGGGTGACTGGGAGGAAGAGTGGGCTGCAGAGTGGTGTCACCTGCTGATGTACGCACAGGGAGGCTCCCCGTCGCCTTTGCGCCTGTGCACCCACAGCATGTCGCACACACCCTCGCGCACTTCCTCCCCCCCCCCGGCCGCCCTCCACCCCGCGGCCGCCGC